TTTGATATTAGAAGCCCAGTAGTAAAGACAAAAGTCGGGAAGAGCAAGCCCACCAGCTTGTTTTGAGTCTCAGAGGTGATCTTTTTTTAATTCTATGGTTTTTATAGTCCCAGATAAAAGGGAGTAGGCAGGGCAGGAGCATAGGGAGGCACTGGAAGAGGTAAAGTAGCTGGGGAAGGAATATCATTTTAACTGTGTTGATCCATCCAGTTCCAGATCCTTCAGGAAGAAGGAAGTGATCTCCAAAACTGGAGGTTAGCTCGCAATTTGGCCACAAGAGGGGGTATAGTTTTGAAAAGAGAGGAAACTTCTTCAGTGACCTGAATCCCAAGATCTGAAAAGAAATTTTAAGTGTTAAATGTTGTATCAGGGATCAGGGACAGGTCCTTTTTAACCCAATGGGTATCAGCTCGCAGGCAGGATATGGAATGATAAATTATATCAAAGGCGTCTAAGGTTGAAGAAGGAGTTTCTACCAGGGATGAAACAGGTCTGATCCGTTTTGAAGAGCTTGAGAGGACATATTGAACATAAAAGGTGCAAGTGTGTCAGCAAATACATTGTACAGTTTGCAATGGAGCATGTAGGGCCTGGGGTCTTACTTTCAAAGTTGTTTTTCTCAGAATTTGTTTCTTTTAGGTCTTTGTTTAGGAAGGCGTAGTCCACCTGTGTAAGGGAGGGAAGGTGGGGTCCTAAATTTGTTTTGGAGGAGTAAAGAGTTTCATAGAACTCTTTAAAGCGGTTGTTGATATTTTTCACTGAGGTAAGACAAACTGTGTGTTTAGACTTGAGATTTTCTAGTTTGCGCAGTTGTCTGGCAAGCAATCTCTGCGGTTTCTGCCCAAACTCAAAATACTTCTGCTTATTTTGAAATTGTTGCTGAAATAATCTGATTATATTAAAGCTAAAAAAATAATATATTTGTCTAGCGAGGAATGGCACGCATTCTTCTCATCTAACTGATGGATTTGTTCTTGTAGCTCTAGAAGCTTAGCTTTGTTTAACTTATTTCTGTGCCCCAAATATTATACAGCCCCTCAGGTATGCTTTTAGAGTCTTCCACAGTAAGCCTGGGGATGTCTCTGGGGTATCCATTTCAGTGTGAAGATATTCAGAGAATTTGGGGTCATTAATAAGTTGAGTCAATTTTGGCACGACTCCATAATGGAGATTAGAAAACAAAACAAAAAAGGAAGACACAAATATAGTATCTGTAAACACAATTATATAAAATGAACCTTCCTAATATTTCTGTGTTAACCTTATGTCAACTTTCAAGTAAATACTGTGCAAAAAGTAACTCCAGTCAGTTTAAGTTTAATCAACACAGGGATGATACAGCAGAGTAGTTAGATTATAATAAATCATTTAAAATAAATAAATGGGCAATAATAATAGCAACATTAAATATATATAAAAATATGGTAAATGACAATGAATAGATAACCAAATACAAAGAGCCCAACCAAAAAGGAGAGAGAACAAAAAATAAAATAATATAAATAAATACTCATTTTAAAAAGTAATCAAAAAAGAACAAGAATGGACTATATATTTCCATCTAGTGTTACATTAGGTTCAGGGGGCATTATTGCTGTTTTTAACAGCAAAGAACGAACAACTGAGGGATTCCAGATGTGATGATTAAAAAGGAAACGTAAAACATATTCCTGCAAGACTGTCTTCTGGCAACAAATTCACAGTGAACTACTGATTCTAGTGGTAGACAAATAAATATATACAAATAAATAAAGAACCACACCAAGCAATCAACATTGATTATGTTGATTATGTTCTTCAGAAAAAGCAGGATAAATGGCCATATTCAACCAGGCCACTTTGTTCAGTAGCCTATTTTATCCATGACACTTATACAGATGGTTGACATGCCAGTTATCAACCTGTGGAGGCTGTTCCAAAGCTCTGCTCCGCAAATTCTGTCGCCCTCTCTGGGTTGGTGAACAAAATTTTCCTTGATCTCTTTAACATTGTGCGCGGTTTTACAACAGCTGGGGATATTTTAGTTATTTTATGTTCTGATCTGATCTCAGTGCTCACTATCAGTGAAAACACACTCCACAGAATACAGACAGTTTGTTCAGTTCAGAGGGTTCGTTATTTTATACTTTGTATTTTATACATTTCTAAATAAAGGCGGTTGAAGTAAGGGATGTTGATCCAGATCAACTTGTTTTTTCCTGCTTAGCATTACCGGCCACAGATGTTCCTGGACAACCTGACGAACACCATGCAAAGTGCAGCTGCTGCCAGCACCAGCTCAGCCTTGGTCTCCTCCTCAAGCAGCCACTATGACACCAGCACCCACGCTGGCACCTCCATCCACGAGTCCCGGGTCATCGCAGGAGGTGGGGGGGGCACTGGAGGAGGGACTGACAGCAGCATATCAGATATCATTTCACTAGATTGAGCCACATCTCACTGGACCTTTTTTAGGCCTCTTTTCTGTGGCCTTTTTAGTCAGGAATACAAGTACATGTCATGTTGAGTTTTCCACAGAAGCACACAAATTGGTATATATGAGCACTTTCATGGCCTGAATATTTTCCACAATGTTAAAAACTATCCAGGCATGTTTATTTTGCCCTTGGGGTTTTTTTAATTGCAAAGGGCAACACTGTGTGTCATTTATTTTTACTTGAATATTTGAGAAACATTCTCTTTTGATTTAGCTCTGTATAGTCTAATATCCCCTGGTGTTTTTAGCCATGGGCTAGTCCAGTATTCCCTGATGTTTTAGCCCTGTTTTGGTCCAATACTCCCTGATGTTTTATCCCTGGTTTAGTCTCTTTTCTCGGCAGAAAGATAATTGCCTGTAATTCTTTTTTCCAGTTTTTTTCAATGTTGGAAATATTTAGACAAACTTCATTTATACCAGTTTGTTTGCTTGCACAATGCACATACATGTAAATGTGACTGCAGCCTATTCTGGCCCGATTGAGCTGAACTATGTGCCTAATTAGCATGGAACAGAGCCAGGATTAATGGAAGAACAGCTTGGACTCAATGCTCTCAGCTAGATGTTTCACACAACATCCGTGCTAGTGAATACATAGTTCGAAGTAAGAAGCACCTCTGTAAAAGACTTGTGGACTGATGAACAAGCTGTTGACTGTGGAGGTGTCTGACCTCCTCACACACCACAACAGGGCTGTTTCTGTCTATTTTTATTGTATCTGTGCTGGCTTTGAAAAGCCCTGCTTTGCCTTTCAATCACACAAATGGTAACTGGAAGGCAGGTCAGTAATTCAAATGTTTTCATTGGTTCTAACAGCTGTTAATCATTACTTTGATGAAGTTTGTTACAGGGCAGCTTTCATGTCATACCAACATAAAATTTTCCTTTGTAATTTAGTCCAAGCAATAATAATTTAACTTCTGTTAGGTTAAATTAAGTTGTAAATGTAGTAGATACTCGTACTAGTAAATAATTTAAACTGATACATGCCACTCTGCCACCCTGCTTCCAAAATCAAATGTACAGTTATTGTTTATGGTCAGTTTATTGACTTAAATAAATTGCAAACTTGAGATTTCATCTTGTTAGAGAAATACACTTAAAGGAATAATGCAAAATGTGGGCAAATATGCTTATTTGCTTTCTATCAGAGTGAGATGTTCAGATGGAAGTGTAAACATGAGTCGGGGTGTGCTTAGCTTAATATAAAGATTGGCAGCAAGGCGAACTACTTGCTTGGCTCTGTCTTAAGTTCCATAAATACACCTTCTGACACCCTGATAGCTCAGTAATTAACATGTTGTATCTCATTTGTTTGCTTTTTACACAAACAGACATGTAGGAATCACAGTTTGTAGTTTTAGGAGGCATTTTGTGTTCCCATTTAAAGTTCCGGTGTGTAACATTTAGCAGGATCTATAGGCAGACATATATAAAATATTCATATGTATGTTTTCAATAATATAAATAAGAATGGTGTTTTCGTTACATTAAAATTAGATGTTTTTATCTACAGAGGCTGTGGGTCGCCTTCCATAGATTTTACCATGTTAAACCACCATCTTTCTACAGTAGCCCAGAACAGAAAAAACAGCTTTTCAATTTTTTTCACATTTGCAAGTCTGCAACAACAGTATTAGATGCCACTAAATCCTACACACTGGTCCTTTAAAAGTCCACTCTGTTAATCTGAACTCTGACCTCTCTGCTATTGTTGGATTTTTGTGTGTGTTGGTATAGAATAGATGGATATGACATTTTCTCAGTGTTAATGCCTACACTTAAGCCCATTTACTCACAGTTGACAGAAACATCAAGAACAATAAACACGGCAGCTACTCTACCATACCTACATTATCTGGATTGCTTACATGTGTACATAAACCCCCAGCCATAAGGAGCTCAAATCTCAGGGACCTACACTCCACTTTTCCACGCTTGTCAGACTGAGTGAATTAAAATACGGACACATAGAAACAACATCTGTAACTGAAATACAGATGCTCACATAAAAGCGCATATAAAAAATGTTCACATTTTCAAGATTCATTTCAAGGTTGTGATAAGTTAGTTATTGGGATGAGAATTCAGTCTGTAATTTAATTAGTCCATTGAAAAATGACATGTAGAAAATGTAACGTTAGTGTGTTTTTTAAGAATCCATATCCCTGTTAGTCTAGATAATTCACAGACTAGAGATAGTCTTGATCATTGTACTGGGGTGGAGGCAGAACTCTCAGATATCTCAAAAGTAAAAACATGCAAGATCAACAACATTAAATTCTTTCCCCACCATTACAGCACCTTTCCTCAAATAGGAAAAACATATTAGTGTGGAGTGTTTGCATATCACTGTTTTGTGAAATTACTCATTAGACTTAGATCTTTATCTGTATTCACCTGCGACAGATGTCGGATCTGTGGAATCTAAATCCAAAAAATCATGTTTTTTTTCTACTTTTTTTTAACTTTGACATATAATCCCAATTACTTGGATGTTTCTCTTTTGACACCATGTTAACAGACTCAGAGAAAAGTTTTTGTTTTTTGTTTTCTTTGCTTCAAAATCATGAGCTTTATTACAGGATGGTTTACAAAATTGTCTATGTTTTCCTGTATCTGTAAACTTGCAGCATTTTGAATTGTGGTACCATGTGAGGGTGTTTTTTATTAAAAGTTTTCTTTTTTTATTCAGTTAAATCTGCTGCTGTTGGAAATAATCCCTTCAGTGGGCCAGTGGGTTGAATGTGCTGCAGTCAAACATCTGGGCCCGGATCAAACCAACTTCTCAGAATTTCACTTAAAGGGTAACTTTAGGTCCAGATGGTCCAGTATTGAGCAAGAGGTCTGCAGCCGTTGTGGCTGCAAAGCAATCCTTATAGGCAACTGTGCACTGTCAATGTACCGTATGTACACTAAAAGTGCTTGTTTTTTCTACTGGCTCAGGCTCAGATTGTTTTTGAGTGTCTGGCAACAGTATGGAAAGGACCCTACAGAGACTGTAAGAGTAAGATCCATTTTATTTAACCAGAAACAGCACTTATATTGTGTTCAAAGCCACCAGACTGCATTGACAAAAACTGTAATTTTACCGTGTAACATTGTACCCTGCTGTTAGTGGACGACCCGCTCTACCATATCAGAAAAGCAAATATAAGGAGAATTTAATAACAAACACTAAAGATATAAGTGGAAAAAAGTTGTGTAACATGTTCAAATGTTTGTTTGAAGATATGTTTCAAGAAAAGAAAATGGCTCCTCTCCTCTTCCACAGGAGGGCACTACAACCTCAATCAGAGACAGACCACAGCTTACCTACACTTTTGAAACAGGTCAAATATGAGCAAGATACTCTCAAAATGTTGTTTTGTGGTATGGTATGATCTAGAAATTCAGTGTATTATCATATTAAAATATCTAATATTTTCTATTTTTGTGAATATCCTTCTGAGGAAACTAAAAACAGATTTGTGTGTGTGTATGTGTGTGTGCGTGCGTTACTGTGTGTGTGTGTGAGAGAGAGAGAGTTCAAATTCCTCTTGAGACACCAAAATGCCTGTGACTGACTGTTAACCACCCAAAAAATAACCCATTTGAAGTAAATAACCAGCAACTTAGAAGTTTTGAGCTTGAACAAACTTGATTCTCAGATCTATGACTTATCTTGAATTCAGCAAGGCCTTGGATCTGAGAGAAATGTAACACTGTAATGTCCCCACAACGACCCTCTGTCAACTGTGGGGAAATACTGTTTTTAATCTTTGTGAAATGGTTAGGGGCCACAAAGCCAAATTAATGTAATGTACACTCAACATGTCAGGTCATATGACAACCAGAGAGCAGGTGTAGGACAACAGGGGAGGAAATATGGGGAAAATGGAAGTAAAATGAGGGAAAAGTCAACTTGGGAAATCAGATTCGACTATCAGATATGGACTCAGTGACAGGTGAGGTTAGGTTAAGGTCAGTGCCATCCTCAGGTGTTTGTTTGCTGGCTGCCAAATGGCAGGCAATACAAAAAAGACCCAGGTATTAATACATGTAGTTCTAACATGTAGATGATGATTACTATCATGGCCAGCTTAAACTGCTTGTGGCAGAAATTTGTTGTCGGGGTTGCACCAGTAGCTCACCTGTTAGAGCGTCTGTCTTATGTAGGCTGAGTCCTTACCACAGCCCCTTGCTGCATGTCAAAGGCCCCCCAAAAAATTTAAAAACAAAGAATTTCCACATTCTTTAACAATTCGCATACATTCATTTATTTGTGCTTGCCAGAATATCAACATTGACGGCCATTGATTTTGGATTAATTGATTGGGGTTTTTTTTTAATGGGCAAATCTTATCTATATCTATATCTATCTATCTATATAGCTGCTCCTTGCCTTGTTCTAGCTCTCTCTGTGGCAAACTATTTTAACATTTAATCAGTTGCAGTAATAGCAGTTTTAGATATCAACAATTGCCTTTTGACTAGTTAGAATTCCAAGACAACACATCCATAATGTAATTATGACTAGTAGCAATCTGAAATGAATATATCTACAGTTCATTTCTCACTTGTCAAAAAATTTATTCTTGATATCAACAATGAATTGTGGAAATGTATGAGGGGCCGTCAGGGACATTATTCAGAATTACCTCTCACAAACACATGTGAAATGCTCTTACATACACTACTGAAACACTCTCACATAAACAACTGAAAA